GCTGAGCCCGGCTCTGGTTCTGGTTTAGAAAAAGGTCATTAAAAAGAAACAGCAGCGTAACGAAGAACAGAAACATTTTCTCTTCTTTATGTGAAATCTGAATCTGTAAGACAAACGTGGGTCTGATGGTGCGTTCACTGTCCCTCCTGCAGTCCTCTGTCCTCTGCTGTGTAAGAACGGAGGCGTCTGCCTGCAGAAGGACCGCTGTCTCTGCCCCGCTGACTTCACCGGGAAGTTCTGCCAGATGCCCGCCGCCGCCGCCGTATCTGCAGCGGTGCCGCTGTCCTCCTCAACCAACGAGATCGAAAAGCCCCCACCGCCGCTCTCCGCCATGGCGACCAATCAGGAGCTGACCCAGTCGGAGTTCCTCCTGCCGCTGGGACACAGCCAGGAGGTGGCGAGGTCTGGAGGTGAGTCTGACCTTTGACCCCAACAGGTTACTGAACATTTGTGTGAAACTGAGTGTGTGTGTGTGTGTGCAGCCCCCGGCCCCTCCCTGGTGAAGGTCCGAGTCCAGCACCCCCCAGAGGCCAGCGTGAAGATCCACCAGGTCCTGAAGGTAAAACTGCGACAATCAATTTAATTCATTTAATCGCTACCGATCAGCGCCGGTTTCTGAGCGGTTCTTCTCTCCGCTCCAGGTGTCTGGGTTCAGTCCGACCCTGCGGACAGTTTCCTCTTCCTCTTCCTCTTCATCCTCCGCTTCCTCAGGGTCGGCGGGCGCTCCGGCTCCGGCGGTCCAGGCCCAGACGCTGAGGGGGGGCGGCACGTACAACCAGCAGTCCGCGTTCAAGTACTGCTTCAGAGAGGTCAAAGACGGACAGGTGAGAGAGAGCGGGAGGACTGATTATTGATTATATATTGATAGACTTTATTATTTATTCTTTTATTTATATTCGTATTTATTCTTCTTATCCTGCTTTGGACTCTTACTGCTGCAGTGTTTGTTACAGACACAGTACGAGTCTGAACACGTCATAAAAGTTTTAGAGTTTTGAGCCGAAGTTTAGTGAGCAGCCGTCTTGGATTTTGAGGTTGGGGTCCTCTTGTGTCACGACAGCTGGTATTATGTAACGACACTCTTTACTAGAAAATCTGTGGAATGATTTTATTTATTACGCCACTGGTGAAAGTGAACCAGTGATTTATTGTTTCTGATCCAGTAAGTTGAGACTCTGGTTCACATTATCTCCCTTGGCTGCAGACGTTCAGCGTGTTCACACATTTCATCCTCGTAATAAAACGCAGCTTTAGTTTCAGTAGCTGCATGTCCAACTCTTTAAACAGGAGCAGAAACCTCATAAAGTAACGAGTAACCAGCAGTTCCTCTAACGGGCACTAGAGGCTGGCTCCACCCGCCCTAAAGCATACCCTGCTTTATGGTCTGTTTGACTCTAAATGGGAC